AAAGAAAAATTCATCAAAAGGTGATCGAGTTACTAAAATCAAACTTGAGTGAATCGCTTCATCTGGAGTGTAATTATTATTATGTTTCTCTTTGTCTTATTTTTCTCTTTTGTTGTCCTTCTTTCTGATCATCAGAATGCAAAATAACAACAATCAAAGTCTTTGTCTTCTTTCGCATTTCTACTTTTTGGCAGGTGATCTTTGAGTGTCTTGTTTGAGGTGTGTGTGTTTTTACCAAGACCCCCGAAACGAGAATTGAGGTTTCCTTTGCTCAGCATTTACCCAGACTGGTGCACCTAAGAGATGACAGTGTTTATATTTTCTCATTACATTATATCTTGATTGTCTCTAACCTGATATCTTCCTCATTTTTGTGTGTGTTTTGGGGGTATTGATATATGGGATGAACTCATTATATCAATTTCATGACAATGCTGTAGATCTGAAGCCTTCCTTCTGCTTTAATTCCTATGGTGGATTGATACCAGAATCTCTTATCAAGACCTGAGTCAACAAAATTGAGGGTATATACATGATAAATAGATGTTTTTGTGATGATTCACTCATATTGATCAAAGATGATCAAAGACCGTATAATTTGAACGAGATGGCTGGGATACTGAGTCAGATGAGGTCAGATGGGTACACGACTATGTATGTCAGTGTACTGTAGACAGGACCCCGGTATGCTCCTATGAAGGGTACAGATCTAGAATTGTGACTTTTGAGCTCGCGCGGAGATACGACATATGGGATTAAACAGTGTTCTCTTGGATTTTACCGGTTTCTGCCTGAATTTCAGAGTTGCTAAGTCCAATACAGCTGATTAAAAAGACTAAACCTGTCTCAAAGCTATGGGTAAAGCCAGGGACAAGTTTCCGAGCGAGCTCAAAAGTCACATTTTTGGATCTGTACCCCTGATAAGAGCATACCGGGGTCCTCTGTAGACCCATGAAAATGATTTGACTGCAGCAGCTGAGGGTCACGTGTGCCGCAGTCCAGGATCAAAAGTTTGGATACAAGCATCGGGCCTAACGCCTCTGTACGTGTTTCAGATGTATTCTCAGCTGGGCTCTGAGAATTCTCAGCCATAATCCGGAATCCCGATCTACCCGGGTGACCGCCACCGTTTTTTCAAAACTTCGGTTTTCGGTTTTCGGTTTTTGGAATTTGGGCATTTCCTTCAATTTTCAATACACACCACGGGCTACCATCACCGAGAACACCAACTGACACGATCACCACCACCAAGGGTTTATTCCACACTCGTATTTTCACTCAGCACCCACCACCGAGCATTTTTTTCCACATCTGTCTTTTCACCACCAGCTAGCTACCAACATCACCACCCACCACCGAGCTATTTTTTCACACTTGTCTTTTCACCAATCTAGCTATCACCACCACCACCCAGCTCGAGTATCTTTTATCAAAGTCCAGACTTGTTTCAATTATCACTCACTCAATCAACTTGGTATCATTTACAGTCAATAAACTTGTAATCAACTTGGTATCATTTACAGTTACAAATCACCTTACCCCTCAATCAATCAACAACCTTTCTGATCAAAGAAACTGTTGGTTTTCCAAATAGGTTGAATTTTGAGGAGGTGATTGTCAAGATCAACCTCAATTGTTTGAGAACTCAGAATAATCAAAAATACTTGGCATACATTTTTTAAAACAGCCTCATGATTGAAATGTTGTAAGTTGTGTAAAACAATCAATAAGTAAGTGATACAAACTCTGTGAAATGATCAGGTTCCAGATTGTAATCACCATGATTTGTGATTATACTCTTTGCAATTCAAAGATACTTATGTAAATTTTTTGTTCAGATGAGGGCCAGCCAATTCAGCATTTTGATGTGTAGTTAGTGTAAGAATTAATGGATCAATAAGAAGTTAAAGAAGAAACTTCAAAGGTGAACACAATGAGTGTTGAGATAAGAGCTTTCAGAGTTAGTTGTGATGTGTAGTAGGATCGAGTGGATCAATTTTTTGTTGAGATAAGAGCAAGCCGATGGATCTTTTTGATGCAATGGGTAGTTTAAACATTAGTGGTTCGATATGAAGTTGACGAAGAAATTTAAAAGGTTAACACAACAGGTGTTGAGATAAGAGCTCGCCGATTCGACTGTGATGTGTAGTAGGATCTATTAGTTTAATTTGAACTACAATACTTTGGTATTGATTGATACGATTGAAGTTGATAAGATTTGAGATGTGGTTTGATTGAGTCAAAGTCTGGATATTTGAAGGCACAAGAGTTGAATCGGTCGAGCAGTTTGACCGACTCACTGTAAATTGAGAGGGAGGCATGGTTGCTTTTCAAAAAAATTGAAGGAAATGCCCAAATTCCAAAAACCAAAAACCGAAAACCGAAAACCGAAAACCGAAGTTTTGAAAAAACGGTGGCGGTCACTTCACGTCACGGCTTCCGTACATTCATCAATTTCTCTTTACTTTTCATTTCTTGACATTTTTGACTCAGTTCATCAAGAAATTATAGTTACAGTCAAACCGGAAAACCTTGCCACCAATTCTCCGCCAATTTGCTCGAGTTTTGCGGGCAAAATCGGTCAAGCTTTTCCGGTTTGACCAGTTCATCAAGAAATTATAGTTATCAGCTAACCCGACAAACTCCGCCCTCCCTTCCCACTCAGGTTGTGGGCGCGCTCGTATTTTTGTAGGCGCGCCGAGGCGCGTTTTTCTGGGGTTTTTCGCGCCTAGGCGCCACTTGGCGCGCCGGGCGCGTTTTCTTACAAAAAAATCGCCGAAAGCCAAAAAGTCGCTTTTGTATTGTTATTTGTTCTATGTGTGGTTTGCTAGAGCTGTCTACTACCGCAAAATTGCCTTTTTAAGGTGAGAAAAGCTGTCGTAAGAGCTCACAGCGAGTGTCCGAGTCTCCAATACTGGTGACAGGACATAGAAATCCTACAATTTGGCGTAATTCTTGAAAAGGCGCGCCAACCCTCATTTTGTCGATTTTTCGAACGCCTGGGCGCGCCGCGGCGCGCCCACAAATCGGCGCGCCGAAGGCGCGTTTTTTGCGCCGCGCCCACAACCTGACTTCCCACCCTAGTCAGCAATCATTTCCTTTTGTTAAAAGTTGGCAAGTGTCTGAAAGAAAATTTTATGAAAATTCACAATCATCATTCAAAAAAAGTTATGTTGGTTTTCATCAAATACACATATATAAGATTCGTTTGGTTTGAGAAGAAATGTGATCATTGCTGGGAGCCGATTGAGGCCAATTCCCTTTCCCTCTACCTCCTTATTATCCCGCGAAAATTCCTTGATGCTAAGAGCTATTGTAGCCTCCTTTTCATCTCATTTGTATGTGAATTCGCATATTTTCACATCCTAGCAAAAGCTGGAATGTCTCTTTTGGAACAGTCCAGTGGAGTGCGCGTGTCAAAAAAGGGTTTCAGCTGGTTTGAGATTTCAACCCTGGCATCTCTCGACAATGCGATCGCAACATGTTCATCTTCAATAAAACGGAGTACAAATGCAATGATGCAATCTAGATGCGACTTCTTGACATATGTATGTAAACAAACAATAAAAATTACGACTCGGAGAATGAAGCGGTCACTCCAGTTACTCTAAAACGAGCGTGAAGAGGGCCACAGCTTGACATACTCTACTCTGTGTGAGCGTCGACATGCATTATCTATATGCAAAGATATGTAGAACGGACGTCCAAGTGAAGATTGTGTGCTACTCAATGACCAAGTCGATTTTTTCAAAATTGTCAGCTCAATTATGACATACGGCGACTTGGGTAGCAAGCCTATACCGACTTCTTTTCCAATATTGTGGAAATCATGGAGGAGTGGTTTCCAAGAGAGTCCTACATCAATCTCATGTGGAATCACATCCTTCACCCAAGGTTGATACCACCGAGGCCAACAACACATAACTCTATTTGTGTCAGTGTACAGATAAAGCAACAACAAATACCAGAACAATCAACGTAACAACAAGCGATCCAACAATCAAAAAAATAACAGTCAATACATGAATGACAATTTCTCTTATTTTGATAATTCCAATAAACTTCATCAACGTATCCCTCCGACTGATTTTGATATAGGCAACCATTACAATCAATCTCAACGATGCTTAAAGTTACAGTTTCAATCCCAACTATAACTCCAACTTTCCCTCATCAAACTAATATAACAACTCAAATGTCCTATTGGGTCATAAGAGATCATATCATGTTGGGTGCTTTGATATCATTTATGTCATCAAAGGTTCTATTATTCGAATCGACACACTATTTCTGTGGTGATGAATCTCGGGAAGATCAGGCTTCGAGTTGCAACTTAAACTTGATAAGTTGAGCTCGAGTGCATATGCAAAACCAAACATGTGTAAGAAAGATCTAATCCTACAAGACTTTGAAGCTGAATTACATGATACTATTTTCTCTGACGGATATTGAGAGTGGCTTAAAACTGCATAAGTCTATGTACCCTATTCTATACCAGCTAGTTTATTTTGGGTGCACTTAAGTGTGCATTATTAGTGAGGCAGAGTGAAGAGGCAGTCACCAGAAGAAACTAAAAGACACTTATTATGCAGTGGTGCATCTTCATCCGAGCTTGAAGTAAAAGTTCTGCGGCCTGCGCTTTTGCCGAGTCATAGAGTCAGAGCGCATGGAAGCCTTCATCGTGAAAGAAATCACATTAAATATAGGTGATGATGTTGAGCAATTTTTTGTACCTTGAGTCGTGGGATAGCGCCAGGAAGTCCACGAAGATGTACCCACGTTGTTCAACAACAAGATTAGAGAATATTTTGGCGAAGTCGGGATTGGTATCAGCGATTTCCGAGCAAAAGAAAGGTGTTCAATACTATTCGGGCAAGGTGATATATTAATATGAATCTTCAGGTGATGAATACTCGAAGGAAAAGTGAAAAGGCTCACGATAAAATGAGATTGATATGCCGGAGGATTTGGGAATCGATTGAATTGCATGTCTTAAAATCCTATACAAGGATAGTGGCACATCCAAGATATTTGATTGTCGTACCATCATGGATTGTGATACTCCGGCCGACTATATTTGTCTTGCCTTTAGCAGGAAAAAGTGACAAAGTGTGATCGACAAAAGACCGTTTGTTTATCTTGACTCCTTTGAGTGGTTTGTGATCTTTTGACAAGTCTACGAGTTTTGCTCCCAAGCCTGAACAATCTTTGGTTGCTGGTTTTTCATGAATGTGATAGTTGATATCGTCTTTGGCCTTAAATTTTTGATCCAACCCTTCTACAGCTAAATCAATACTGACGCCTGCGTTATTAGAGAGTTGTACGAATTTGAAGTGGCCTTCGATCTTCAATCCGTTTAGACCAGTAATGATGCCCCCTGCCAGTGTTTTGGCCTGTGTCTGCGGTTTGGGCTTGTTGCGATGTTGCTGGGCCGGTAGAGGTATAGCTGTGATAGACATGGAAAAAGCCAAGAGAAGGACAAAAAACGAGGAAGTGAAAACCAGTCTCATCTTCAAGTTATGTTGCTGAAGATCAAAGATATAAAAGCTAAGATATGGGAGAAAAAACTGGATTGATAAAAGTGATACTGGTTCTTTCAAGCGGAGTGCTCATGAACGATCAACAGACGAAGTGAGGTAGCGGAAGCTCAAAAGCTTGAACAGAGGTATTCATCTACATGCTAATGCAGCACCGCTGCTCCCTACGAGATCCCTCTTGAAGCTTTTGCGCTATTTTTCCCGCACAGACAGAGCACCCGAAGCCTCATTGGCATGGTTTTATATTGAAACACTGCAAATGACGATTCTGTTGAGCTATCTTCCAACTTGCATTGAGCCTCATCTGGCTCATCACCTGGAGATATGCGCGGCCCCGAAGAACGAAGTTTTGCCGAGAAATGTTGTCTTGAGATCCGGTTGTCTTCAACCTCGATTGCTTTATCTAAGCTACGGAGATCATCGCCCGAGCCACCATCACTAGGTACGTACAACTTCATAGTTACATACCTCCAGAGTCCACAGCCCTCACGATTGCCTCAGAATATTCGAGAGGAATATTCGAGGCAACGAGGTCGCATTGGGCGGAGCGTGAAAAGCGTGTCCGCTCAGGCTGCGGATGGCTCGCCCCAGCTATAAGACTGATTTGGGGGAGCTTTTGGTGCCATATAGCTGTATACGGCTCAGACATATATGGCCACAACCCGGCCTAGACTGCGCTGAGGGCCCATGGGGATAATCGGCCATTCCAGGGTGTCTATCCAGGCCAAAGAAGAAGAAGATACCTTGGTTATTTTCACTTATGGTTTGGTAAGAGAGAATGGATGTGGAGAAGCTGTGGCATCAACCCCAATCATTGAATCTAGCTCAAGCATGCAATCAAAAGGCTGCTTAAACCATGAAGCTGAACTAGAAAGCATCCTACTTGTCACAACAATTTTTTTAGGAAAAAAGTTGACTCTCCTTTAGACATGGTGATATCTAGCAACTACCAAGGGGGATTCACAATGTCCCAAGAGCTGCTTTGGGATCTGGGGATCAAAGTTCGTACAAAACTCAGATTAATATGTACTTAAGAACACAAAAAATGTATTTATATTGGACTCTGGGTCATGTACAACTGGAACTGAATAAAGGTCAGGTGGATCAAGTAGCGGGAGAAGCAGGAGAAATTTAAGCACGAGGCATCATCTGACCAACAAGTTAGGTTAGCTTAAAGAAAAGAGCAAAAGAAGACTGTAATTGGAAAAATCTCACAGTAGGCCTGGTGAAAATGCTTGCAAAGACAAACCAACATACCTTGACAAAGCAATGAAATGCATGAAAAAGGAACGGACAGCAACAGCAATGATCTTCCATTTGCAATTGGGCTACAGCCCTTTCAACACTGATACCTTCAAAATAAAACTTGAGAATTCACCTTTATTAGAAGTTTGTGGCTCAAATGAATCAGCTGAACTTTTATTTTGTATTGCAGATGCTATAGAAAAGCTAGAAAACAACTACAGGCCAAGATCTGGAAATAAGTAAATAAATTTCAGCAGGGCAATGCTACTAAATTGTAAGATATCCCAAAAGCTCTCCTTTTATTATCTGAGTCCTTTCAGAAACTGACTGATTTGTATTATTTCAATCTCACAGTAAGGAGCAAGGCCAGGATGAATGATCATGCAACAAGTGTTAGGGTGATCAAGATACACACATTCAGCACACTGTTAATCAAATAAACCTATGAAACTTTCCAAACATTTAGCAGCTCAACCTGTTTCATCAGATTTTGGGATAACTAAGGAGACATGAAAGTTTTACTATAAATACTCTCATCTCAGCACATATCTACACATCCACCACTTTCTATACATTAGGAGTCAAGTGGATCAAGACTGAAATGCATTGTTAATTCATAGCTGAGAAGTTGCAATTGGTAAACAATCTTGATAAAACATACACCCAGAATCTTTACCTTGCACCTTATATTGGGGCTGAGTTTAGAAAAGTGGGTTGTCATTGTGTACTATTTTCCCTACACTTATAGGTGCTTAAAAGAGAATTCTTGTGATTGGTAATCCACCTCAACAAAAAAACCCATACTGGGACATTTACCCTCCACATTAGATATTTTAATGAGTCAACTAAACTGGAATGCTACTGCTCTCTCTTCTTCTCACCCTTCATCAAGAGTTGCTTTTTGAAAATCAATGAAATGGATGATGGAGTTTCTTATAATGTGAAACTATATTCAGCTACTACACAATCTTGTAAATTTAATCAACCGTAATATCCTGGTATACTATTCTCCTTGCTTACTATTTGTTCAGATATTTTGATATGCAATCAAGCAATTTCACACTTCAAAAATTGTGTCAAGTTGAACTGACAACTTTTTGGATCCCACTGGCACACACAAAAACTTCAACTCCCTGTTTGCATTTGCATATATGTACAATTGTTATAGGATTCCACTATTTAGCGCCCCCCGGGTCAATATCCGGCGCCCCCTCCCGGGCCGGACAGGGGCTGGAAGCGTAAAAGCAGCCCCCTTTGAAAAAAAGTAGCCCCATTCGCCCCCTTCACAAAACTTTCAAATAAAAGGAGCCCCCCCAAAAAAACCATCTCTTTCAGAATTAAGAGATTGACTTTGACTCAACCGACTCACTCACAGATCCTCACAGGTGGGCATGGCATAATAAAATCGTATTGGCATAGTAAAGTCGTCATACAATAAGGTATAAAAGGCATAGTTTACACAAGATCAATAGGTAGGCATAGCACGGCATAGAACGTGAGCGAGTGTGTGAGTTACAACAACATAAATCAACAGAAAATCATAAAAAGACAAAGACCAGCAGAACAAGTAAAGACAATGTGAGAATCTGGACAGTTGTAAACCGACTATTGGTCTCGATTACTCCACATATCCAATTGAACTTGATACCTGTTAATCCAATCAGGAATGCAAGTTGTGGAGATGCTAGGCGAGAGCGAGACTGCACCACCGTAAATGGCTGGAAATGGAACCAAACTATACCCCGGTCTCAAAGTGACAAAATGATCCCCATTGACAAACGCAAGGATGATGGGATCATTCTTGTTTGGTTTAATTCGGTATGGAAAAAAAGTGTAACAGTTGGATTCAACAGGATCAATTAAGATCATTGGGCATTCATAAGCACTTGCGATGACGTAGCCCAGATAAGGCATACGCATCCAGTACTTTTGAGCACATTTTGGCTCTTGAGGTTCCAGTCGAATAAGCAGGTCGTCCACAATTTCAGTAGCGTAAGGTGCTGTCCTGCGAGTTTTGATCTTCATTCCAAAAATCGTCAAAATGAGCTGTTCATGGCTGTCACAATGCCTGAACAGCTCCTCGCGTAAGTGGTGACAAACCCAAGCGTAAGATTCCTCATTGTAACATTGGAGTGCCTCAGCGATGGCAAAGTATCCACAGTTCCCATACGCTGGTGGATCAAATACAGATTTGATGTACGGAACAATGATTTGAGGCAATTGCTGGACAAATTTCGATTCGGCCGGAGGGACAGGAAGATCAATAGTTGATAACCGAACAGACGTCCTTTGAGATTGCAAATTGCTTGAAGATGATGGTTCCTTTTTCTGAATGATTATAGGTTTAGGGTTACTAGTGGTTGCCTTTTGTTTCCCCTTACCCTTATCCAACTGTTTCGATTTGATCATAATCATGTCGTCTTGCATGGGAAATACCACAGCACCAAATTCACGGCTGGATTCCAAAGTAACCTCGACCTGAGGATCTTTTCGATCTAAATTGAGATCTTCCGCAATTAGACTGATTGCCAGTTCAGGGATCAGGACACGTCGCAAAAAGGTATCCGGAGTAAGTGGCGCCGCTTTGTGTGAATCAAGGTGATTTGGCGAAGTTTTGTCATCAAAGTAGATAAATTCGAGTGTTCTAATCATGATATTATATCCTTGATACCCGTAACTGTCAGAGTAACACGATGATCAGCTTCAGCTTCAGATGAATTGAGTCAAATAGAGTAGCGCTTACTATCCAGGCTGCTCTACTTCAAAGTTGCCATTCAGGCCCTCCAAGCTTCTAAGTTTTCCGCTACCTTTTTTTTTTTCGGTGGCGTATTGTAAGTAAGATGACACTTCGGTTTTGTTGACTATGCTGTTCAATGTGTCTACATTAGACAAGATACGTCTGTGGAACAAGCAGAAATGTTATTAGCTAGTTACAAATTAGGAATCACGGAAGATGCTTACGCTTCCAAGCCGATAAAATCAATTTGTGTTGGCCATCCTTTGGCAACACCTAGTGGAATAGTCTCACGTTCAGCCTGATGTAAATGGCAGAAATCGGCGGTTTGCGTGAACTGTTGTATAAAAACATAATTAGCATACAAGATATGTTTGTCAATTCAAATGAAAAGACTTACCGGCAATGACATAGCTCCCGCTCGTCCAATTCCTTTGCGAATGTTGGGAAGGGCCAAAAGAGTGGCCTTTAAATCAAGAAGTTTGGTAGATGGTTGATCAGGAAGAGGTTCATCACAAAACGGACACAGGACGGTGTCTTCATCCAAATCTTGATTGATGTCAGATTGGTCGGATTCGGATATCAAATCATGTTCTTCTAATTCTGAATCTTCATTTTCAATTGAATAAGACACTTCGATTTCATTTGATGAATCTAAGACGGGTGTTGCACATCTAGGTTTGGAGTTGGTGTGAGATGACGAGCTGGTGGATGGAATCAAACCTTCTTCAATGTCCATCAACTTATTCTTTTCGCTTAGACGCAGCGGACAAGTCGTGATTCGGTGATTGGGTTGCTTGCAAAAGCTACATTTGTTGACTCGAGGCTTCTTAAGTGCTTCAGATACTTCAAACTGTGACTTCCAACGTCCTTGAACACCTTCTTGAGATTGAGAACCAGAAGGATGTTTCGAAGTGGAGCCTCGAGGGCGCCCTCGAGTGTCAGTCTTGACTACTGCATCGACTATGGGAACAAGAGAGAAACGATTGGTTTCCAGGAGAGCTATTTCGCCAAAAATCTTACGAAGTGATTGCTCGGGCAACACCAGAAGACTTTCAAATTTAGCCCGTGCGGCTGCGAGAAGACCTTCGTGCGTTTTTGGTGGTGTGTCCATTCGAAGTTTCCACTGGTCATGGAAGCTATCAGGAGAAAGATAATCCAAGGTGTCTCGAGCTTCGGCTATTTCATGGGAGCATGGAAGACCCCATGCTCCTCGAAAAGTGTGAGTACAAGGCTTTTGAAGTGAGTCGGGTAATAACTCGTATTGAACCTTGACCTTCTTAAGCGCAAAATGAGAGATGACTCCGTTGAGTTCTTTGAAAAATGGCGGCATCCCTTGCAACGTCTTTGTCATTTCGATTCCAACTAAAATATTGATTTCACTCATCTGATGCTCTTCGTAGCGCTTGAAAGCATTGAAGCAAGTCAGGAAGTCGTTATTCCTTCCGTCTAAAAATCGCTTCGCTCGAAAATGACTCCCCTCACATCGGGAGGTGGAAGAGTTTCCAAAATGCGGCGTGTTTGAAGTGAACAAAGCAACAAATTTGTTTGCTCGATGTAACCAGGTTCCTTCAAGGTAATCCAAACAGTTATGTGATCGGGCCAAGTTGATTACAGCTTCGAGATTGATGTCGTAATCGGCTGTTGTGGTTGATGCGACAAAGGCATTCCAACATCTCATGAAATCAGTCCACTCGGGTTCGGTAAACTTCGACTTGCAGTTTTTCGCGATGTTGATGTTGATGTGCCAGACGCACAGGATATGTGATGCCTGTGGGAACACGGTAGCAATAGCGTTAACCAGGGCGGGCTCGGCATCGGTGGCAAAGGTCTGCGTCATCGGGATAGGTTCTGATTCTGAGTTGGCGTCAGAAGCTGAGTTGTCTGAGTCATCCTGATGTTGAAAAATGACTTCCTTCAATTGAGTCAAAGCCCACTCGTACTGGGAAGAGATTTCACTGTTCAGGAAACACATCGCCACTGTGAAGGTTTTGTTGGTGTTTGTTGTTCCAACGATGTGTAAGAGGGGTAGGTTAAATCGGTTGGTTTTATAAGTGCAATCAAGGGAGAAAACAGTTGGAAATCGTCGTGCTAAAATGATAGCGCTTGGGCTTGCGAAAAATAAGTTCTGAAGGGTACCATCATGGGCGGTGAGAGTCCGGTGGGTCCATTGACTTTCCGTGATCAGGTCAAACAGCCCTTGAATGGGTGTTCGACCGTCAAGCCAGTTGTCTCGAAGGCGGTATCGAACGTTATGAATGTCACGAATCAAAGGTTGAGACCCATGGTCAACGTTGAGTAGTTGTCGGACTTGTCCTGCTGAGCATCCTGCGGAAGATAGCAGACCTATTTGTTCCATCTTTTCAGGTGTGAAACGTCGGTATATTGCAAGCTGGTTTGGTTGATCAAAAGGTGGATGGTTGTGATGGAGTTTAGATGCCTTCTTTCTATCGTGGCTGACAACCCATCGGTCGAGTCGTGATAGGTAATTGAGTGACATTTCGAATAAGCACCCCGTCTTTTTAGTTGAGGCTGAGCGTTTCTTAGCAACTGAAGGACTGGGAGTTTTTGATTTGTATCCGAGAGAGCATCGCAGATAGACATGGATTGTTCTCTCGCCCTTGGTTTTGTGGCTTTTAACCGCTAGAGCATAGCCTTGGTATCGAGCAACTGCGCTCATGTACATCAGGCCGTTGACCATTTGTTCGAATTCTTTGCCGAGAAGTGGAATCCGGAGCTGACGAACTGGTATCGCCCCTGCAATTACAGTTCAGTTAGCCTAATGTTTGAGTCATTAATGTTTAGTTTGAACATACCGATGGGGGGCCAGTCCTCGTCTCGTTCATCTGCAAGGATGACTTCGTCGTTTTGAACCAAAACCTCTTCAGTGTCCTCGAGTACCACATCCTCCATGTTGACTTCGTTGACGGAAGCGGTGGGTTCTGTGGGGTCAGAAGGTACAGACGTAGACGTAGTAACAAGTGTGGTGTTTGCAATTGAATCTGAGCTGATGAACGTTTCGGCGGAGTTCGATGTATCGGTTGATGTGTGGGCTGAGTTGATGACATTGGTTAAGGACTGTTGGGGGCCAGTGGGATACATGAAAGGCATTAAAGGGTACGGGTTTTGATTGATCTGAGGGTAAGATGTTTGATGATGATAAGGGATTCCATAAGGCGAATGTTGAGGGTAAGGTGGGTGGGTCCAATGAGGGGGAGGCATTGACGGAACTGGGTGATCCGGAAGCCCAGTAGGGCCTCCTACGCCAAGGCCTGGAGGTGGTTGACTCTGAGGGTACGATAAACCAGGAGGATGATACCAGTAGGAGGGAGGTTGTACATAAGCGTGAGGTGGAAACGGGAGTGGGTGATTAGGAGCAGGAGGTTGTACAAAAGCGTGAGGTGGAAACAAGGGTGGTTGATTAGTAGGTTGATGGGAAGGAGGTTGATTAATCACGTGAGGGTGGTGGCTTGGAGGGTTTGTGGGCTGTACTACCTCCGATGTAATGGAGATCTGGTTCCGGTTTGGAGAGGACATCACGGATTCACGTTACAGTCTTGAATGTTTAAGGTTCAAGGTTGCTGTTTGGGGAATGTACAGTACAGTATGGGGTGGTATGTAGGGTGAATTGAAGTTTGAAGATGAACTTTGTGTTTGTGAATGGTGGGAATATTAGTGGGGAAAATGGAATGATGACGAAGGAACGAGAAGGTCGAAGGAAACGAGTTGGGATGGAGAGAGTTAGAGGGAGAGGAGAGGAGATGTTGAAACATTGGGCCGGCATGATCAACGGGCGGGGCCAGGCTTCCAAATGAAGAGCAGCCCCCTTTGCTTATTTCCCTGTGGGGCTACAATGAGTTATACGCCCTTTTGATTGCAGAGGGGCTCAAATGATGATCAAGAGGGCTGTGTTGGTGGGGCGATGTCAATTCAGGTAGCCCCTAAAGGTCCGAGTCCCCTATAGAATGATTGAGGTGTCTCGGATTGTCTCGGGTACCTCGGGTAATGCCCCAAAACAAGGGGGCGCCGGGTTTTTGCCGAGGGGGCGCTAAATAGTGAAATCCTTGTTATATATATACTCATACCTACCTAGTCAATTACCAAATTGTGTGGAGATTATTCAAGAATTTTGGACTGATTCATGACAGACAACAGACACTGGAGTCTTTGGGAGCAAGACTATGCACAGGGGCAAAAATTGATGCTCACAACTATGTGAGCGTTGAAATTTTCCTGTTTTGTCCCCATTTGTTTTCCATTTGTTTTCCATTTGTTTTCCATTTGTTTCCCATTTGTTTCCCTTTTCTTTCTGCTTGTCAGCTCATTATGTGATCAACAGAAACTGAGGAGATGAGTCAGGCCTCCCTCAGGCAACATTCCTTATCAAAGAAGCCTGAGGGAGGGCTGGCCCATCTGCTCACTTCATCTAAGCCCCTCAGCTCATCCTCAGCAGCATCCCTTGACATCTGCTGATCTGGGGGACACCTGTGGCTGGCTGGGCTTTTCTCAAGCTAGCTCCGTGTTGGGTTTTACAACACCAACCCAAACTGTTTCGGGAACAAGGGCAACTGGGACGTCCCCAACAGCGCTGACTGTCAGCTGACAGTAATCACTTTCACGTCCCTTTTGCAGACCTTACAAACCTGTGATATCCTCTCAAGTTTCACACACTCCTTTCTTGTGCATCACATCATTGTCACATTTCTTGGATGCGCCAGTAATCACAAGAGACTCAATCAACCTTCAATTATCAATCATTAGAACTTGATTTAACTATCCACAAACTTCAACTTGTTTTGATAGCCCTTGGACCTGGCTTTTCTGAATCTTTGAAGCTCGATCTCCACAAGAAAAACCCCTGCCAAGGAAACCCGTCGACCTACTCCAATTCTTGGACGTCATACTTCAAACGCTGGTTATGTGGCTAAGACTTTATCTGAAGACCCAAAGAGAATATCCAAATCCGAACTTGAACGTTGACTTAAAACTCAATCTTTTGATCAATCACAATTGGAAACCTATGTTACTGTTTGCAAACAAACCAGTCTGAAAAGTGCACGTCTGATACTTGAATCAATACCTACGTCTAATGAAGGATCTGGTCAAAACGTACCCTCTAGTATTTCGGCGGAGATTGCTAGTAAGAAAATTCAAGAGCAACAACAATTGGACAATCTTAGATGTGATGGTAGTTTCACATTTGTTAAACGGTGCATTGCAAGCCAGTTTATCAGTTGGACATATTGTTGCTTCAGCTGAACTTGTGGAATACACTACAAGCTATGCTTCCGAAATAGCTAGAGTCGAAGTTGAAAAAACTAATACGACAAGCGCTAATGATGATAATCCAAAAGATGGAGTAGCCCAGGATCCGTCGCTTGCAATTAGACCTTTGCTTGCTTGTATTGCCGCTCTAATGAACCGACCAGCATCTCAGAGTCATGGACCCACATGTAAGCTTCTTACTATATTGATCAAACATACAATCAATCTCTGAGGTGATCTAGAATTGGTCTTTGGTTGACTTTCTAAACCAAATATTCATTTACCAAGTCAAGCGATCATCAGTTCTATGCTTTCTCCCGATGGACACCCTTTCAGGTTCTCTGAGATCAACCTTTTATTAAGACAAAAACTTCCACGTTTGACACTTCGATTAGGCATGACTTGTATGATTCAGGCTGGACGTAGAGATCGGGCCGATTGATTCGAACAACACCTGCTCAATCACGGCAATCGACCTGAAGTTTTACCCCTCAAGGACCAACTGAATCACGCTTTGAAATTTGTTCCCCCATCCACTCATTATTCATCATTCAAAGAATTACACAAATTCGTTTCGATTTTCAAACCCAAAACATTATTTCCAAATACGACTTCACCCAAAAAAGGATTTCTAGAATACTATTTATTACCAATTCTATTTCAATCAGTTTTATTTAAAGGATCAATAGAAAGATGAGAAAAAGAAGTAGAAGATTATATTAATGATTATTCAAATCAAGAGACACACCATTTGCAGGATTATTTGTATCAACATACAAAAAATCGAAATTGATTCTCCAATCCACAACAACACCCTTACTAATCTCATCAGATCCAACATGAATCCATATGATTTCAGCAACAATGGGAGCAAGTTTAGCAACTTTGATTACCACTCCATTTGATTTTTTTAAAACTCAACAACAATTAAAACCTACACTATATTTAAATTTATTTCAATCGATTAAATTAATTCTCAATAATGATACTCAGAATTGGAAATTGTTTTTTCGTGGTTCTAGTCTTAGATTAATTAGAAAAGGTCTTGGTTCAGCTATTGGTTGGTCAATCTAGTCGAGTTTCTCTTTTTTTTATTCAATTTCTCAAAACGTTTTGTTCTTTATTAATTCGTTTTTTTGCTTTGGTTTGACTAGTGAAGGATTGATTCGAAGATGGGCAACCAAGAAACCATAAATTGTTTTTTCTTTATCTTCTTTTTGAAACCTCTCTATTTATATATATAATATATTCTGTGTAAAAACCCAGGTAGCAAGTCTTATAAATATATAATTGTATTCTAGTTTTTATCAATTCTTGTTTTATCAAATATTCTTCTTGATTTTTAAACTTGATTTAGATACAATCACTTTAAGTAAAATACAAATGACAGTTAAAATCTATTGCTTTCCAATATCTTATCCTTGACTCCTTTTGTGGGTATTGGTATATATACATGAGATTAAATTGAATGTGTTTGTTTGGGGAATTTGATTAGTGATTCCTTGTGGTATTGTCAATTTACAAATTTTTGATAACAAACAAGTATTTTAAAAGAAATCCAAGGTTTTCATACATACAAGTAAGTTACTAAAAACAACAAAGAAGAATGAAAGAATTAAGAATAATTTTGATGAATATAATCAATAAGAAACAATTTGATTGAATTAAGTTCTTCACTAATCAAAATCAAATTAACCAAACTTTTTTGAAACATAATAGATTGAAAAACTAAAGTTTCTTGAAGATCACATGATAAATCAAGTTGTACATCATTTAAAGTGGTTAACCATTTTTGATGGAGTTTATGAAATTGGTTTGATAAGTTTGATACTTTGTGGTTGATTGAATCAGGTGTGTGAAATGGATGAATTTCAAAGTCTTCTTTTGAACTTGGTGAGTCGCTTTCTGTTAAGGTTTGAGTGGATTGATTTAACTTCTCTTCAGAGGTATTAATTGAGCTTTCATTACCAAGTTTTGATTTTTTTGAATCATTGTTGTGCGTTTCTTCAGTCGAACTTGTTTGGAATTAAATCAATCAGATGAATCTTGGTCAATCGTTGAAGGATGATCCTCTTTAGTTAAATCAATCATCTCATTTACCAAGGAATCCTTTGAAGTAAACTCATTTGAACCTTTAATCAATTCATCATCATCTTCAATTGTTTGATCTTGTGATTCAATTGATTCCAAAATCGATATTGCCGTTTCTTTCCTTCTTCATCATTCGCAAAAGTTTCATTAAACACTTCATCTTCTTCATCAATCTGCTCAAACTTATCAAAAAATTCATCCACATTAATTTCATCTAATTTCACTTGATCTTTTTTTCTGATGATAAAATTGAGGAAAAGTAGTAGGTAAAGATTGCATCAAATCTTGGATCACTTGGGATTCAATTACCATTAAACTTCTGATTTGATTTGAATGATCATTAATATAATCTTCTACTTCTTTTTCTAATCTTTCTATTGATCCTTTGAATAAAACTTTGAAAATCAAAACGAATCTGTGTAATCCTTTCATGATGAGGAGAAGATGAATGTTTTTTGAATCAAAGTGAAGTTGAGTTAAATAAAGTTGAAGATTAAAATCAAATGAAGAATGATTAGTTTGATGATGATGGATTGGAATCAAAGGCAATGGACAGTTTGGTGGTTCTATCTTCTATAGAGTCTGTAACCACTGATTCCTCGACCACAGTGATTCAGTTGGTCGTAATCCTAATGAGTTGTGTTGTAATAGTGGTTTGTATCTGCTGATGTTGATGCTGTCGGCGAACTGCTCACAGAGGGATTGACCAACCGTACTTGAAAATACATGTCAAACTCAACCCGTCAAAAACACAGTCTCTACTCAAAAGCCCACGGAATTTGAGCCGGGTTCTGGCGGTGATTCTTGGGTACCCCGCAAACCAAATTTCAACAAAAGCAGGGTAAATTTGTGGTGTAGTGCCGACATGTATTGGGAAGGGTGGTAAAAAATGATTTTTTCCATCTTGAAGAGGTTCTGAGCTGTTCTGAGTATGCCTCATGAGTGGATCCTGAATACTCATCTTAGAGACTGAGCCCACAGAATGCTCATCCAAGATGAAAATGGGCATTCTCCAGCAACGCCAAGCAAAATCTGAGCAAAACAGCCTGATTGCCTGAACACTACCAAACTCATGAATTGAATGATTCTGAAACAAAATGAATCTTTTTTGGAGTTTTCAGGAAAGTCTACAACACTCACATAGCTGTGAGCATCGATTTTGGCCCCTGTGATGAATGGTCAATTTAAAAACAATGTGACAATCACGGCGGAATAGTTCACAACAAAGTCTGATGATACCCACCTATTGAATCACAAGCTTTCACCATGGTCAATACCACACAGAGCATCCCAAATGCAAGGTTGTGGTAGTGGTATTTGGAAGGCAAATCTACAAAGATTATCAAAAACAAGAATCAATTCAACCATTAAAACAGTGATAGCAGATGCATTGATTTTGACTCATCTTATTTTAAAAACTTCAATGTAATCTGTAACCATATTCCGCCAAATGTTTTAATATAAGAAACCATTTCAATCCAAAATATAATTCTTAAACTTTTACTCAGGTTAAAATTTTGAATTGTCAAAGGAAGATCTTGAATGATAATGCACACCAGTTTGTTGGATATCCTAGTATCATTCATATCATCAGAGTTTCTATCAACCATGTTACAGGTACCCAAAGGCATGGCAGAACCTGTAAATTTTAACAGTGAATTGGGGATGAAAAAAAATCCAACACAATGAGATGCCGCTACACTGATACTTGTGTACCAGGA